GGGCACCTGAAGGATGAGGGGAGCGTGCCAAGCTCCATCGACAGCGCAGAGGGAGTCTAAGGATGACATCATGATTCTGTGAAAGCACAGGAACCAGAAGCTATGGTGGTGATGACAGCAGTTTCCTATGAACATCACCTAATGCTGTGTCACTATACTGTGCATACGATGACACTCTGAAGGCTGCTGGGATCATAACAGCAGTAAGATAACTGGACCCAGCACCCTTTTTACAGAGGGGTTTTTCTGCAGAGCGTGGACAGTGGAGGAGTCATAAGTATCCCCTTCACAAGACGAAGGCCTGAAGTGAGGTAATGGGGGTTGGTAGAGGCCATAAAACTAGAGTGCTGAAGAGGTCTACAGCTTTCATGATAGCTGAGACCCATATTGACAAACAACAAAACCAACTGGTATGTTTGAATGTTTATTCTACATACATTTGGACTCTGGTCCTATGGACAGTGATGGAAACAACTGGAAGAGACATTCATGACGCCCTGCAGAACTCAAACCACTCTGCAGAGAGACATGTGATTTGCACACCCGGAGGAAGCACCACCAAGCTGAGATGTTTTTGAAAATGTTACTTTCTTATTTCAACTATTAAATGAACAATTCATTTGTTTGCTCGTAGGATGCAGGTTGCCATTGGATGAGATCAATGAGGAATGGGATAACTGCTAATACATTTGTTAAACTGTGTACTTTTACAGTAATTTAGTGTGATTTGACATATGCTGTGTATAAAAATGTTTGCATTGAAACTGTCAGACATGAGGTATTCATAACTGGGAGCTTTTCTAGCATAAAGGTCAAAAAGGGGGGGATGTTAGGTTTTGTATTGTTGATTGTCATTTATGCTTAGAAATATCTACTTATATATGCTTAGAGTTTTATAATTAGTTGTAGATTGGTAGAGGTTTGATCCTTGATAGTCTGCAAACTTTGTGTGCATTAGAGAGCACTCTAAGAGCATAAGAGAGGTCCTATCTTCTCTTTGTTGATATATGGTATAGCAAACACACGTATATCTCTTTAAGTATAAGAGCCTTTTGTTCATCCACCCCAGGGGCTCTGCCACCAACGATAACAAGAAAACTGCAGATGCACTCTCTACTCACAGCGCACAACCAGTATCACCTTTTAATGTCATCTGCCCCTCTGTGAATCGCTGCCTTATCGTGGTTGAGGGGCTTGTGTCTTCCAGGGATCCCAGGTGCTATGCTGTTGGGGGGCTTTTGCCACCTGGTTGTGTGTCCCATTACAAGTTGGCCCTGAGTGAGGGACCAGACACTAAGCTATTTAGAAGACCCTTATAAGACCCTTACCAGACCAAGGGAACAGTTTACCCTGTCAGGCATCCGGTTACCTGGGCACCATTTTGGAGCTAGGACATGGGAGGTGACCCGAGGGAGAGCATCTGGTGACTTGCCGTAGCCCATGGGGCCTGGCCGGGTGCAACCTGAAGAAGGAACATAGGCCCATCCTCCTTTAGGCAACCCATCTTAAGACGCCATAGAGGTCGGGTGCAATGTGTGTACTAAGAACGTTGACACTGGCAGACTGATCCCTGCTACAGAGACTGGTGACTTGGACATGGACTCTCACCTCTCTGGTGGGGAAGGAGCCTGAGCTAGTGCATGAGGCCTGGGAATGCTTTGGTATTCCACCGGATAAGCTAGAGGAG